TACATACGAAATAAATAGCGAAATGTTCAGGTAGCTATGAAAAAGTATAAAAAAACGTCTACAACAACGATTTTAAAACCCCTCCAGATTGAAAACAAAATGCAATTGAACTTCGTGGCATTATAAATACTAACCTGAAAGAGATCCGATATCAACTTCGAAAATCGATTTAAAAAGCTTACTAGATGTGTTTATGTAGTTTACTGAATATCGACTCTAACCAAAACTCTGAATTGACTTGAATTGGATTTAACTTTTTTTTAGGAAAATAGCAATGCTTTCATGGTAGCCATAAGGACAGGTGATGCCAAATTAGTCAACACTATATGGCCATACAGGGGAAACTTAGACGTCAATCACCAGAACAACGTACGTTTATTGTTTATAGCTATAATAAATAGTCTTCACGAGATTAGTACTAACAGTGACTACATGGTATATGACTAGATTTTGTTTTGTCCAACTGGAAATATTATGTCGTGATACATGCGAACAAATATTCAGAATCGGCCGGTGACATTCCGAATCTCAGTCTTGATGATTAGTTTGAGGAATGGCATTTCTATATTGAAATATAAAGAAAAAAGGGAATAAAAAAAAGCTTTCGCTTACTGTAGGGTAATACACTAAAACAGATCGTCTTTTGACAACGAAGTGTATTCACAAAACAAGAAACGAGGCTTTCAAAAAAATGTTGGACGATAAACATACTGAAATATTCACTCGCTAAATGTAAAAAATCACAAATAATCCAATCTCTTTTATGAACATTTGTGTGGTTTCTGATTAGTTTCCTTTTGGAAGATCGATTCGATGAACAATGACAAGTACTTCCAAATATAAAAATGTCCAAACCCGTTCACTAAAATATAAAATTAGTACATCTGAAAAGGTACAATGATGAGGGACTCTGGCGATTATTACTAATAAACTGTTAAATTTAGCTAAATCATGTGATGTAACTTTTTCTATAGCTGGGCAACACTGCTCTCCATATTGCCACAGACAAGTGCTGGGATGCCTGTGTACAGTTTCTCTTAGCTAATGGTGCAAATATCGACGAACAAAATAATGTAAGTCATCAATAAAGATACATACCATTAAATGTTGCCGTGTCAAGATCAATTCCTGAGACTCGGCTATCGGTAATGTAAAAAAGTGATCAACTTGTCTATATTAGCTGCGTTTAATCTTTATAAAGAAAATACCAGAAATAAACTCTATTTACAGACTATGTATTTATAAGTCATTCTCTATTAATAACTGTGAAACATACATATCGTAACCTAGAACGGATTTTTCTTCTTCTTCGTCTCCTTTAATTTTAAGGTTTTTTGTTTTTATTTTTTCCCTTTTAAAAACATTTAAAAAGCTTCTTTGTGGACCTCTTCAGAATACCATACTGATTGATTAAAGTGTTGTGAAGTTGTTAACTGAACTGGGCTTAGGGAACAATTAAAACTTGTTCGTCTGAAGAATGCATGTACCAATAGACTTAGAAGAAGCGCAGTGTGGCAGTTTTATTCTAGATCTTACACGCGCATCGATCATCACGTACTAACACATTCACACGTACATGTCAATAGATCAACGATCGAGCTTTATCTTAATATTAGGTCTCTAATTTCGTGATAATTCGCCGTTTTAGAATCTAAAGGATCATGGATAATTTCATTGTTCTTACCCCGAAAGAAAAACAACTTCACGTCATTGACTGAATTTCAATTGTTTGGGACGTTGTAAGCCAATCACAGGGTTTTGGCATACGCTTTTGAAAATATTACCCAGAATGCATTAGATTCTGAAACGGCAAATTGGCCTTCGGAACACCCAAACAAACATTAGCACACGAATACCTCGCATAATGTAATAAACTTTGTTCTTAGAGTTTGTACCAAACGTCATAGTTCAAATAAAAACGAGTATAAAATTCAAGATTTTTTTTATTACTAATAAGTATTTCAAAATATAGGATGGATACACGCCGTTGATGGTGGCTTCTTTGAAAGGTGATCTGAAAGTATTAAATCGACTTTTGTCATCTGGAGCAGATCTACTAAAGGAAGACATAGTAAGTATCTTACGAGACAATGTCTATCCTATCCTATAGTGAACCGACTGTTGTCGGCTAGAGCAAATGACTAAAGTATTAAAGTAAGTACTATACGACATAAGTCTCGTCGTATCACACTCAGCAGATTGTTATGCAAGACAACCATAGTATACTTTTTATTGGGTGTATCAGCGGAATTCTTATGTATTACATAACTATACACTCGTCCCGGCATGCTCTTATGGCACAAAGTAGAAAGACGGAGAGCAGATACAAATGATCATGTGACATAGTATAAATGTGATAAAAAAGATGTTGGATCAACGTCAATGAAACAACACACAAAATGATAAAAAGACATAATGCGCTCGTTGTTGGCGTCCGTACGACCTATAGTTGCTTAAATCCGCTTTATTTTGGACTTTTTTTGGATTCTTGATTAGAAGTTCACTTTTATACCGGATACATGTACAAAAACGGTGTTCACACCGTTATGAAAAAATAAACATCAATTTTTATTCACTTTATGGCATTCATGAATGTCATATATATATATATTATATATATATATATATATATATATATATATGTACCGATCTTTAGACCTATTTTTAAAACTGTGGACACTTAGTTATTTAATAAGATAAAGAAAGTGATAAGTTATCATTAAAACTTGGAACGCTTAGTTATTTAATTGAATAAAGAAAATTATAAACAAGACTCAAAAGTAACCTGCAATTATGTTGATTTATTGAGACTTGAAATTATATGTAACAGTCATACTTTTCTTTCCAGCAAGGATGTACTGCATTGTGTCTTTCAGCCGAACCAGACCACGAATCAGTTCTAGATACACTCTTAGCTAAAGTTTCCGACCTGAATCTTAAAGAAAGCTTTGTAAAGGTACACTTTAAAGCATTTGCGCATAACGAACACTTTACGACACATTCAATCGGAGAAAGAAAATGAAACAAGTTAATACATTTCTTTGACATTCTTATTTGTTCTTTTTTATTTGGGAAAAATTGTTCCTCCTTTATTTTTGACTACATTTTTTGGATACTGTTATTCCTTCTATTCTTTCACGAGGTCAAAGATAAAACTCTAAGGAAACAAGTATCAACGTCATAAACAAGGATTAGTATGGTCAGTTATCGGTCTTAACTCTGCCTGTATCACCCTGCTCAGAGCGCCCTTCATGAAATTGCATTTTACTGCCTTGTGATGTCAAATTTATTGACACTGCCTTGATAACTTAAACCCGGACTTATCACCGACGTAATAGTGTTTGACACCACATTCCTGGACAATATGACAGGTGTCGTTATTTCAAAAGGAAATGCTCATCGTTTTAGTTGGGTTTCTGTATCTCAATCTTCTTTACTGTGTAGTGTTTTGTAAACTTGATTATCTCCACGTCCTTTTTTTGTCTTTATGACGTTGTGTGAGCACGATGAGCGGCCGTATTTCCGAAGTAACTGCTTACCATTTTATGCTGAGTTCGTTTGTCACAATCTTTTGTTGTCTGTTTGTGATATGTTGACCAATGTTTATCTTTAAGGTAACAGGTCCTTTAACGAGTGTAATCACAAAATTTTATGAACTTTTGAATGCAACTTAACCATGCGAAACTGCATATTAATATTAAATAAGTTTTACACTTTTTGAGATAAAGCAAATTCGAAATCTTATTTGGATTTTATTTTCTGAAAACACGTTATCAACTCATATTTATCTTACAATTCTACCGTTTACCTTCTTTTTATCACACAAAATTAGATTTTCCATACACATTCTGACAATTTTGCACATCCGGTAGCTTGAAAAGAGCTTTATGACCCATACTTTTTATGTGATATTTTTCAAATAAGCATGATATAAACTATATTTTGGCTAATCATTAAAATAATCTATCGAATTTGATTTAGACCCCCTGATCTATCTTAAGGCATAAGTAGTTATCCGATGTATAAAACGGAACTTCTAGTAGCAATCGGAATTTTTTTTTTAGAACAGGCCTTTACAGTAAAACTATGCAATATTTGTTTTGGTAATATCGAGGGTGATATTTACGTGTATCCTATACATTTGTCATTTTTTTCTGCAGGATATTTAATTTGCTTTATCTCCCAAAGTATAAAAGTTAATGACAATTTTTTTTCGATATTCATATGCAGTTCCACATGCGCTAGTTGGTTGCTTATATCATAGAAATTCACGAGATCGCCCATGTTCGTGCATGCTACTTTAATTGAGTCATTTTACTTTGTAGCCATTGTTTACCTTTCTTTTTTAACTGATGATTTTTACACCTTCCTTATATTTTTTGTTTATTGCCATGATGATCATTTTTATTATAACAATTACTATTCTGAATGCTCGGGAGCATATCATTCAATAAAATACAATCTCCTCTGTATTGATTTCACGAATCTATAAATGTATATCAACATACTGTCGAATGAGATAACATACTTCTAAGTTTGTAAAGTTTCACTAAACAAACTTTTCAGAACCGATTGGACCGGATAAAGTGTCCAATGGGTGAAGATGATCTGGAAGAATTGTTAGTGGCTGTACTTCTCCTGTTTGAAAAACTTACTGGACTTGACGATTACAGAGATGTCCTTCATAAACAGAAAACTTTACCAAGTGTGATGTCAGTTGTTCAAAAACATCTAAAGATGAAAGAAGTTACTCTACTAATGGTTCATATTGCCTGCGAATGCATGTATCACAGAAATCCAGATTTTATCGATGAAAGATATGTTCAGCAATACATAAAGTCACGTGGTTTTGAGCTTTGTTTAAAAGCACTAAAATTGCATTCTGATACCAACAGGAAAGATTACGAGCTTCTTATTTCCTGCTTTTTTCCAATAATCTGTGCAAGTCAGACCTCAGATGGTAGAACATGGATTGAAAAGAACCACTCAAAAATTGCATGTTATAGTTACATACGGGATCAGTTCAACAAAAAGATTTGTGTTGATTTTGAGAACGGAAGAGGAATTTGGAACAAATTTTGGGAAAGCTTCAATGATGTACAGAAACAGCATCGAGACAAAAAGATGGCTGAACTTCTTGAAGAGGAAGAAAGAGAGAGAAATAAGAAAATTAAGAAACGCGAAAGAAAGAAACAGCGACGTAACAAATTACAAGCAGTGAAAACAAAATGCAACGGCGACGTTGAGAAAATGAATTGCGATGAGATAGGTAATGAAAATAGAGATCAATTAATCGAAAAACATACTGAAATCCTCCATTCTAAGACAAAGGATACAGAAGTGATTCAATGCAATGGAAAAAATTCAGACTTTCACCATAAAGAAGAAAAAAGGAACCTGAAATACGAAAATGTGACTGAAAATGCTAGAACATCCAAATCGCGTCGCTATGCTAAGTCAAAAAACTTCTTAGATGAGGTGTCTGCTCAAAGTAATTACGGAACAAATGAAACTCAGTCAGAAACACAAAATGACAAATGGGTCACTGTGCAAACCAGGAAAGCTAATTCACGACCTGATACAAGTACATTAGAAACTGACAGTCAAGATATAAAACCTAGCAAGAAACTTCAATCAAACGCAATTGACCAACAAAAAGGCAGTAAGCGTTGGGCTGATGTAGCGAGGAGTCAAATATTCACTAAACATTGTAAGGAGAAACCAGTAAACAGTTTGGCAAACGACTGTGAAGTCAGCGTGACAGTACATGGCAGTCTTAAAGAAAAACACAAATACAAAAGAGGCGATTATGAAGATGATTTTCCAAGTCTAGACCCAAAGACGTCGTCCAAAAGAAATTCACCAATTGAGCAAAGGCGAAAGTCAAACGAATCTAATAGTCCTATGATTGATGAATGGTGTCCTGAGGAGTGTCCTGACGAATGGACAGCAAGAAGTACTAGTTCAACACCAACTGAACTTGAAAGGTACAGTTCTTATTCAGACAGCAATAATGATGACAATCAGACATTGGAAACGCTGGACCTAATTGTTGAAAATACACCAGGTACTTCTTATCAAAATTCGACAGAAGCAGTTCGAAATACAGGGGAAATGAATAGAGATGTCCTCGGTCTATCGAATACCTGCATTGATTTTGGTTTTGTTACTACAGACGAGAAAGAGAAAGCAATAGAATCTGCGCTAGACACTGCAAAATATACCTTTTCCAAAGCACAGATGACGTATTGGCAAAATAGAGACTTTGTGCCCCTTCTATATGAAAATGGAGTTCCACATTTCAGCAATACAGACGATCAAGTCAAGATGCAAGTAGGTAAAAACAGGCAAAACATGACGACAACAACAACTAAGACGGAGAATTCTAAATCGTACAATGGAAAACGTATATACACGACACAGCCTGCACAGAGTGAATGTATATCTGATATCAACCATGAAAATCAAGGACTGAGAAGCATAAGAGCTGAAACAAAATCGGCAGAATTTTGTGATCCGAATTTAAAAAATGTCAGTTATAAGAATAAGGCTCAACCAGTGGTTGATGAAGTTAACAATATAAAGTCCAATAATGATAACGCTCCTCAATATATGAACATCGGACAAAGTATATATAACAACAGAAAGACCAATACTCATAACGCTCATCATTATATGAACCCAACAAATCATATACAAACAGAACCAAGCCCTGAGAACTTTGGCGAATCAGAAGCTGTCAAAAATTGGCTGAGAAACGATTCATTCAATATGATGTCTAAACCTGGACCACATATTGTCGATAATAGAAAGTTCAATGGAGGTTCACCTTTGTCGGTGTCTTTAGATAAAATGAAGTATTCTAACAAAATTGACACATTAATACCGAATTACCCAATGCCATGGCAACAAACAGAACCCCAAACGAATCCATTAGCAAAGGCTTCCGAGAAGAATATAAAGAAAGATGATCATACAAAGGCTACCAATCCAAATATCGCTGTAAGTGATACCAATACTACCAATAATATTTCTCAGCCAAATGCTACTACATTTTTCACTAGCCTCAGTAATTGTGCAATGGCTAGCACGCAGAATGAAAATAAAAGCGACCGATCGCTTGTTGACTCGAACAATCAACATTTGAACGAGGCAACGAAAAATAACTTGAATTGTACTAGAACAGATAGCTATAAGTTGTCAAGAAACTGTTTAAATGGACAGGCCAATGCAGATGAAACAGAGAATTGGTATTTAAGTTCAAATAATCTCAATAGGGTAGAAACGAAATCAAAAATGGCAGAGAAAGAATTCGATGTCAATAGTATTGCTGTTGTTAAACCACTAGGGCCAATTTCCAAAAGAGGCAACGATGAGAGCTCAAGGATGACCAGTAACAACACCTGTTCAGACAAAAACTGTGATCTAGGTGAAAGTATTCTTAGAAATGTAGCAAATTTAGATATTGCTGATGAAGATGTATGGTATCCATCTAGACTTAGAGGAGAACCTGAGGAACAACAACCACGTCAATTTAGCTCCAATCAAACTAATATTTTCCCTGGTTTTCATGATAACTCTTCTACTGAAGACAATGACAGGGACACTTTCGACTTTGGCTTTAGTGATATTAAGAAATTGGCAAGTTACCAATTGCAAAAGCAATACAATGAAGTTCGAAAGAGAGGACCGGTATATGGGTCGTTGTATTTCCACGACATTCCTTACTATGCTTCTTGTCTTGGAATTTCAGAACATGAACTAGAACGCTCATTCGTATCGGATTTAAAAACTACTTTCCAGTGTACCAATGAACAACAAACGGTTAATGATATTGTTCAATTGAACGAACACAAATTAAACGTGGCAATTGATGCAACGAGTAACATAGCCGACAATTTACAAGACGACAACATTCCTGATTTGTATAATTTTACACCAGATACAACACCACCTGCAAATCAAGCTGTTATCACAAGATCAGATAACGACGAACCGTACCCTTACCTCCTTGCTCAAGAATATGCTACAGATGCTGGCACTATGAATCATATAAAAAAACCAGTGTACGAACCTACACTCTGTGAGAAATATAGGTACCAATTAGCACAACAAATTCAGAATATCCAGACCAAAAATCATATGCAGAGTACAAGTACCGAAAATCGTTCACCAATGGTACTCCAGACAGGTGTGCAAGATAACGGATTATGTCATCCACACAAATATGCACATGAACACAATACCATTCAACCATGGATACAAAGGAGCATGAGATGGCGACAGAAGCTGATGGAAATAAGAAACCTACCAGCAACGTGCATGAAACGGTTGGACAGCATTTTGATCCCGGTTAACAATGAGAAATATCTTTTTCCTTACTCGTATGTATGATATTATTTTGTTAGAACATTAATTTCTCGAAGTACAGCACTGAAAGACACCAAAAACAGAATCACCGATATTTTTCAACTTATAGATATAACAAAAGAGGTTAAATCATTTAATTGTGCAATTTAATTATCACATCAGTTAACAAAATGCAAAATTAAAGCTTTAGAATCTTCAAAATTTACTCTAAGGTGATGTCATCAATTATCTTACTGTCGACATTTATTCCAAAAAAAAGTCAAACTAGTTTTTGAAAGTAAAACAAACAGAAGGAATTATAGAATCGCTCTGACTTATACACACCACCTTGTACTTTATCCATATTTAGAGGATTAACGTTTTTGTTTTTGCGCCTTTAATTCACAAGGCTTGAATTGTCAAAGACACTGGACAGTATGATAATATTGGTAATGCAAAGAATTAAGGAGTATACAGACATTTATCGGTCGTACCGCTCTCTGTTTCACTCAGTTCTTAATAAAATTACATATCACGGCTTTGTGACGTCAAATACGTTGACCCGGCCTTAATAATTTTGACCCAGACTTATCACCGCCATCATAATTCATTAAACGAAGAAAAACACTTTGTTCTATCATGCACATACACAAATACAACCCAATAAATCGATTATCAGGTTGTCTGCATATTGATTTTGTAAAATATCAGCTGCGATCACAATATGAAGCTTTTTGTCGAGTGAGCGCAGCGATTTTTGTCGAGTGAGCGCAACGATTTTTGATACATATGTGATCTATAAACAACCATCTTGTATTAGGGGCTGATCCTATTTCTTTACATTTAACCCTGTAAGTCGTTACATGACGAATGTATCCATATAGGAGAGCTATAAACAAAAATCTTGTATGGGGGCGCCGATCCCATTTCTTTACCTTTAACCCTGTAATTCGTTACATGACGAAAGTATCCCGCTGATGAATTTGTAGTCGACCTTACAACTTGTAAAATAATGTTGAAGACCTTTTTAATTTATGTATATCATAATTAATGAGACCCGTTTTAGTCAAATTTCCCGCAGTTACTGTACATGACGTTGTCAAGTTTGTTTACAATACTCAAGGGACTTTAATCTAGCGCAACAATAACAACTGGAATAGTGACTGTCCGCATTAATAATGCCGGTACACTGCAAGTTGGCATACATACATAGGGAGTTGCTGTCGTCAAACTATTAATAGATATCGAGAATTTTGTCAAAACAGGGAAAAGTGAGCATATAAATATATAGAGATGTTGTATGATTTCCAATGAGTCAACTGTCTACCAAAGACCCAAAGGTCGTGGATGTAAGCATCTACAGGTCACCATACGGCCGTCAGCAAAACCTATAAAGTTATATAACCATATAAATAAAGGCAACAGTAGTATACTGCTGTTCAAAAGTCATAACTCGATTGAGAGAAACAAATCCGGGTTACAAACTAAAACCGAAGGAAACACATCAACTATAAGAGGAAAACAACGGAACAACAGAAACACTGAAGTGCAACAAAAACAAACGCCAACATACATAGAAACGAACTATTTGATAACAACTGCCATATTCCTGACTTGGTACAGGGCATTTTAAGAAAAAATGATGGGTCGAACCTGGTTTTATGGCTAGCCAAACCTCCCGCTTATATGACAATATTAAAAAATATCGCTAAAATGACAACACTACTTGACAGAAATACAGCACAAACAAACGCAAGAACACTCAGCACAGAGAAACGCACAAATAAATACTATAATAGTCGTAAAATGCACCAGTATGACATAATGTGAAACAATTCAAACGAGAGAAACCAACAGCCTGATTTCTGCTAAAAATTAAACAATAAACAGGTAAGGCAAACATTTATATGATTTTAATTTATCCACATCTGGTAAAAAAAAGTTTCAAATTCTTATCATTTCTAGTATATCGTTCATTCTAGAACTCACTGACATTTTGCATTTTCTATAATTTGATTTATAGATTTAATTTATCTTGTGAAAAAGGCATTAATTTAATTTGAATGTCAACGCATAAATCTTTAAACATGTATAATTGTTGTATTTTATCTGCTGTTTGTAAAATAAAAATATCACCAGGATAAAAGTAACAGTTGAAGAAATAGTATAACAGTTTAATGGAACTTTAAACATCAAACCTATTACCCACGCTGTAGGACAAGTATTAAACTTGTCTTTTGTAACTTTTTTACCCACACGTTTATTGTTAAATTTGCTTTTACTGGATTCACTTTTAAATTTTAACACAATATATAATCTGGTACTTAATTTGGCGTTTTATAATTGATGTCTTATAGTGGATTCAGTCCCGCGTAATTAATGTTGTCGTCATCATGCTGAAATATTGTAAACAACTTAAGATTTATCAACTGAATAAATTCGTTGGCTTCTGTCAATTTTAAAACGGAAAAGAACCCATTTGTTATAACAAATATGACTTAAAAGGAACGTTATATTTAATTTACAATATCATGTGACGAAATCGTCATAACAATTCCTACCTTCTGTGTGTATATCATTTTCTCATTTGACATGTTATTTGAATTGACTTCCATTTAATCGGGAATCAGTTAATTGACCACGAAAGACATCCCTCCATAAATCTGCCATCATTTTATATTGATATTGTTACCAAATGAAAAAAAATATATAAAAGAGCTTTAATTTAATCTTTAGCATTTTTAATGAGTATCAATCATGATTTTTTAATGAATGTAAAATGTATTTGCTGGAAAATCATCAAAGCAATGTGTCCACATTCTTTTTTCTATTTATCCAAGAAGTGAATAAAATGCCCTTATTGATTCTCAAAATATTATTGATGTCCTATGCGCGAAATTTAAAGCTGTCATAGAAAGTTTTACTAGCCTTTGTCATAAAGACGAGAAACCTAACGCTCTCTATTGCATAGTATTTAAGGGAATTTAAGGAATGTTTGATAAGTAATTTGTTATAAATTCATTAGCGTTATCGATGATATTTTTGAAATTTGAATTCAAATAACTTTACTTGCTAATCTATGTCAGACAAGGATGTATATACAGATGGGAATTATGTCGATACCTTTTGAGTCAAAACGAAACTTTGAGCAGTAAAATAGAAATAATACATCATAAGAATAAAGATGGTAATAAAAGCATGTGCGAAACTGGGTTCAGTCAAGTAAATATCACAAGAAGTTTGACTATTTAATGGATTCAAGTGTTTATTGGACTAAAAGCAATGACACACAATAAACCGTAATATGCCATAGATAAAAAACCCCACTTTTATTAAAAGTTCCAAAATAAAATATAAGATATAACTCTACTGGATTTTAAATTCATATTCAACCCGGTCAATTGGTCAATTGTCAATATTCTAAAGAAATGTGTCGAAGAAATTAATTCTATATGCTGCTTTGTTTGCTAAGTAATAAAAACACATTCATTTATGAACAATTGCTTGATTCTTCAAAGAAAAGCAGTGTTTAAAAATTTAGAACTGATTAATATGAAAAGTTCTCCGAAAGTCTGCTTTTTTTCAAAAGCAATCCGACAATGCCAACGAAAAGAAGATGTAAAATGAACAAATGATAGCAGTTAAACTATTTGACTTTGTCGAACAAAAATACTATGCAGTGCTTTATATTCATACAAATCTTTTCATTCTGTTGAGTATACTGGTACAATATTGCATACGCATATTCGTATTTTCATTATCTGATCAGATTTCTATTTCAAAACAGTTGTAAAAAGATACCATTATCGTTCAACAACTTTCGTTAACATTCTAGACCCAGAAACGGAATACAGAGTCAGTAAAATTTAAGAAAATGTAAATCGGAATTTGAAATATTTTGAAACTGTTTCAGTAGAAAAAAGTAAAATAACTTAGGAATCGATTCCTTATTGACAAACAAGTTGTTTTAAAAAAGATCAGGGTTAATTGACGTTATAATGGTTGACGTTCGGTCCACAATATAAATGTACTTGGCATTTAATTTTGGTCTTATACTGTTTTATAAAGAATATGAATCTATGAATTTTATTTATGAGTTTTCCTTGTTTTAATTTGGAATAGGTTTCTAGTAATGTTTTTGACGAAAAAATATTAATGAAATCGACAGTCTGAGATCAAAACAGTAGACAGTAGACAGGATTATATAAAAGATCTTAAAAACAGTCTTCATTTTTTTCAGGGATACAAATGCAGTACTTGGTTTTCTTACCGACGGATCAGAAGTTCTGGTTCATATTATAGATATGACATCTCGGACTATCAACTCGGACATTCTTAGAAGTATTACTTCACCTCGAAACTCACATTACTTTCTTGTTAAGTATCGGGTAGGTTGCACAGTAACATATAACATGCAGTTTGACACCACTATCATTGTGTTGTCACTTAAGACATTGGAAATACCTATTTGAACATCTTCCCGTTATTTACAAATCACGAACAATTTTGACCCGTTTTATTTCGGTTGTAAAGATAACGTGGAGTATATCATTTGGCATCATCTGTTAATGAAACACAACGGCCAAGCAGTTGTTGTAGCTTATTTTGTGCAACTAAATTTCCGAATCGATTTTAAAAATTTAGTTGCATAAAAATCAAGGGTTACAACTCGATTACTGTGAGAATAACTTTTAAAGTAAACTTTTCATATAAATGATAATGCTCGTACTGCATGACTCATTGAAGATTTTTTTATGACCAACATTGTTACTTTATAAAGTTAGAAAATGTAAGCCTATGCTCTTCTAAAACTAAAAACCTGTAAAGCAAACTGTAAATTTGATCATATTTTTTTGCACTATTTGAATATAAAGACCAATCACTTGTTCGCATTAGGGTAACGCATTTATGTTTGGAGCATATGAATTTCATGCAAAAAGTCATACATAAAACACTTTTAAAGCGTTGCTATGTTTAAATAGTAACTAATTTTGAGGTTCAAATTCAAAACATTTCTATGTTTGAACACATATTTGTTTGTCTGTTTGAAATAAGCACCATGTTCTCAAAGTACAGCTGTTTCTTTTTGCTACATTATTTTGTGCAACATGAGGAAATTATTCATTTATAATCATTTATTATTGCATGTTAGTTCTAGCATATGTAAACGTTGTTGTTTCTATACGTGTACGATTTGTATACTATCAGGCGATTAGAATCTGATTTCTGACAAGGACTTTTCTAAATCACCATAATGTAATGCCATTTCAGCCACATTTTTTAAAAGGGTGTCAGTTCTATTTCATCGTTTATGTTATAGTCAATAGACATTTACGTATAATGTTAATATCACAGTAGCTGATCGCAAAAGTCACACACTGTACTGTAAAATCAAAACAATAAGTAAAGAGCGAAGACAATAAATTGGGATTAGACAACTTCTGTTCCGGCAGACAATAACAAAATCCTTTCATTATCTGAATTAAAGAACTGTGGTGCTATTTACATTTACTATTGATGCTTTCAACGGCAAGTGTTATCTATTAAAAAAACTGCATTGACTACTTCATTTTGATTTTCGAAGTTAGTTTAAAGGCTTTAAATGTTGGTAATAAGTTAATAGGACGACATCAACCGATCAAAACTAAATTTTCCCAATAAAAAAAAAGTCACATTAAGATATGACATAAGATAATCACTGGCGAGGATCTTGACTTTGTAGTAGGTTTATCTAAGAAATTATATTTAATGTCTAAAAGCATTCGAATAAACGGACATTACTTTTTTTTATTTATGCATGTTTTTGTATATTTACGCCAAATGACATCATGCAAGGCTAAAATGAATTACTGCCAAAATGTAAACTCGTTTTATCACGATTGAGATAGCATACGTCTCATTTTCTAATTGAAAATGTAATCGAGTTTCAGAAATTGCCATCTTTCATTTCCTCACCTCTCTCCGGACACTGTCGTGTTATTAATCCATCCATCATTATTTCGATTCCATTTCCCAAAAGCCATTCGGATGTTCCCATTGTGTCTAATTGCTTTCCTCACTGACTTAACATAAAGTACATATTTTCAGTCATATATTTCCTAAAATATTACAAGAAAGGGAAGAGGAAAATGATTTATATAATAAGCACTAACATTCATATTAAAGATTTTAATTTTACAGAAAACAATATTGCTAACAAAGGATTCATTGATAATCAAATTAAACGTTGTTCTATTTTCTTCCTTTACATTGTTGCTTGACAGTTGCAGAATTTATTGAATTTTTGTAAGTTTAGTAAATGTTTTTCATGTTGTTATTTTGAGATTTTAAATACTTATTATCGATCGCTTAAATGGTGTGAACAATTAAAATTAAAAAATGGAGTCAGAAATAAAAGCAGTTATGCATGGTGTGAAAAAGTAATGTTAATGCATTCGCTATAACCAGGTAATTTACTAAATTTAAAATACGAATTGGTCCTGTACAGTGGTTAATTTCAACTTCATTTCTAAAAGAAGTCTTTCCGATATTCCCATTGTGTCTTACTGGTTTTTTCATTGACTGAAGATATAGAGACATTTTTAGTCATATATTTCCTGTAATATTACAAATATGGGAAGAGGACAGATGATTTACGTATTATGAGCTATCTCATTTAAAAGTTGTTAGTTTTACATAAACAGGATATTGCTTCTGCATTCTTCGATGATCAAATAAAACATTGTTTGCATGTTTTGTTCCTTCAATTTTGTATTTGACACTTAAATCATGTTTTTCATTTCATTAGTTCGTAGACTTTTAAGAATTTGTTTTTGATATCTGTGTTGTTTTAATGTGTTAAATTTCTGAAGCTGTCAATGATAACAAAATGGTATGTATAATTTAAATGGAAAACGAAGAAACGAAAAAACATTTATTTGTACGCGGCACAGAAACGAGAAGAAAATCTAGGATTAAAGATCATTTCTTCCCTGCTTCATGTGTAGTGCAAATGAAATTTATATCCGATACGCTGTATGACCATTTCCGTATTATTTTAACCCTCACTAATTGAATTATATGGTGGACGAATCAGAATTCTTTCGTAATGTCAGCAACAGATTCTACAGAAACATATTTTTGATATTGTAATAAAAACAATATGTGATTATTAACATGAAATCACGAAGTATTTGTTTCTGCAGTCAATGAAATTTTACAGAATGTTTTCATGACACTAAGTGGATAAAAAAATCAAGATACGATTTTGACGAAATACGAATAATTTTGAAATTGGATAATTATTATGTCGTACAAAAGTGAACATTTCCCTGACATCTGCAGATGCTCAGATGTTCAAATGTGATTACAATTAGAAAAACGAAATTAAAATATTTAGAACTTTATTTTTATTAAAGCTTCGCACATACTTATTTCGTGCGAAGTGCTTTTATGTGTCAAACGTTCATCAGGTACACTCATAACTATAGTTTGAAAATTGTTAAGAAATATAAAAACAACCAAAATGGTATCTGACAGACTAACCAAAACTGGCTCAACTAATGAAATGTTCTCATGGTATCCCCAACGTTCCAATTGCTCAACTTGCTGACATTTAAAACCGTACAACTATGCAGGTGTAGCATTGGAAACGTTTGTGTTCCATTCATCATTGAAACGCCCTCTAAAAATTACAAATAGTTAATAACTATAAGTAAATCTTTTGATTTTCTTTTTTTAAGTAGTGATTTCAATATTTTGTATTCTTTTTCAGTGTTGAATCATTATTTATAAATTGATTATCTTCCTAAGAGTTTTATTTTTTCATATCAGAACTGTCTTTCAATATTTTACAGACATTTGCGTTCGAAAGTGGTCGATGCTACGTCGCCATGAATTTGCCAGAATATTCTCTCAGTGAATACCTGTCTATATTGAAATCAGATAGTCGATCAGACCCAATGGTTGTCAACAAACTCGCCTGGCAGTTCCTAAAAGGCCTTTCATCTATACACGAGGGACTCGGCTTGCAGCACGGTAACATGATGGTATGGTTATTTCACACTACACTGTTACATTGAACAAATGTGAGAAATATTGGTATATAAGTACCAAGTAGCTTTGGTAACATAAAATATTGTCCATTCCAAATTAAGAATGTAATCGTCATTTATTTTCCATATTTTTTTCCCCATTTTTCCTCATGTTAATCCATCTGACATGACTCTGTGCAGAATAAAACTAGTGTTAGTCTTCCATCAACGATAAAAACATTACCACACATGAAAAAAGAACCACATAGTTTAACTATATTTTCAGTGACAACAATTTACTGGAGTTTCTAACGGTATTTTTAAAAAATTACCTCGTCACATTACAATAATATATTCTAAACACTACGAAAAACTGCTACATTTGTTATGTTTTTTATATTATTTGCTACATTACAGCCTTCTAATATAGTTGTTGATGTAGAGGGTAAATTGATGTTGAGTGAATATAGCTTTCTAAAACCAGAGACAGCCAAAGGAAAATTCATGGGTCTTACAGCAGTAGAACGTAAGTATCAAGCATCTTAGAAATAACTAAATAGAATCTGTTTGTTATATTTCCAAGTTGTTTATCTTACTGTATCTAAATCATTTAATGACGAAATATAAAATAGCATGTTTATATATAGTTATACTTTGTCTACATCTACAAACATCACAAATAGTGGAATCTAAATCTCACTTGTATCACTGATATGAATGGTGACACTAAAAGTGACTCCTATCACTGAAACCTTGGGCTAAAAAAGGTCATGTTCTTTTTTCTAGTTACTTTGAAGCAGACAAAGAATGTGCCTTATCATCAACCTAGAGTACATAATCTTTTTACAAGTCATATTTCCCAAAGATTTAATCAAACACATATCCCTTCAAAGTAACAATGTTATAACGTTAATTTCGATATTTTTTGTTGCTTTATTTTGCTTTAGAAAGTATTTTTAAAAAGTTTAACCTGTTTTTGTGACACGGTATTTAATTTTCATATAGATGATAGGGCGTGTTGGAGTCCTTCGGAAGTTATAACAGAAACCGAACCTTACTCATTGAAATCAGATATCCAGGTAAATACATTGTTTTTTCATTTATAGAGTAAAACTCAGAATTGATTTAATCTTTAAGAACTGATTACAGAATGAAAGGAAATTGTCAGGTATATACGTCAAGATATAAATTAAAGGGATCAACATAGAATTATTATCTTTACATAAGTTAAGATGTTTTATTGTCAAACGGTTTTTTGGCGAATTTATGCATTTACATCAGAAACGTGATAGTCATCCTAATATCCTTAAAAAGAATCCATCATTGCTTTCAACATGATTATTCTTGTCTCTTTACAAGTTCTTTGTATCCGTCATCGTTGTCGTTTTCTTTGTTTTCATCGACGTTCATTATTTGTTTTTAAATATCAAATATTAGTCAAACATCACAGCATGGCCATTGCTTCTTCATGACCGAAACACAGAATCTGGAGCAAACATTTGAAAATGTTTTTTTCTTCTTCATTTTTATGTTGTATGTTGTATTTTGTATACTTTTAATTGTCTTTTGGTTGTTTTTTTTGCCATGTTATTGTCAGTTTGTTTTGTTTGAATGTCCCATTAAAGGTCAACTTTACCTAAGGGGATTAGAAACTTTGTTTCTGAATAATTTCTAAATTCTTTCTTAAACGGACAATTTAAGAAAGTATGTTATAAGTTATGTCAGGATTGCATCACTGAATACTGAGATGTAAAACATCAATAACCCTTTTCAAGCCTTCATGGAATTTCACGTTTCTTCATAGTCAAGAGGTATATTTGTACTATTTTTTAGTATTTTTCTTTAATAAATTGACTTCACATTTTTAGCAGTTAACATATATGTTATGTCTGTGGACACAAGCTTCTTCATGATTAATAAAGGCAACAGTAGTATACCGCTGTTCAATAGTCATAAATCGAGAAAAAACAAATCCGGGTTACAAACTAAAACCGAGGGAAACACACCAACTATAAGAGAAAGCATTGAAAACACAATTATGAAAGTATATTATATGTTTCTACTTATTGAACTTAGATACACATTCGGAATTCTAGGTTGCAATGCTCTTCATCTTCGTGTTTGATTTGACTCTCCAACTTTTTTATTCGAGCGCCACTGATGAGTTTGATGTAGACGACATGCGAACTTATATGCCTGGTATCTCTGATGAGTTTTTTACAGCCATGTCATTTGCAAAGCCTTTGGTTGATAGTTGTCTCATTGTAAATTTTGATAAATAATTCATTGCAAGTTCTTTCAGTTTAAAATGTCTATGTAGCCCACCATCAGTCAGTGATTTTTTCTAGTTGATATATATATATATAGGGGTCGATATTTTATATTGCAGTTTTAGTCAAATATTTTGGAAATGTAAAGAAATATGTATACACAAAACAGCTTTGTATATACGGTAATCTCCTAAAATAAGTTACATCTGTGATGTTACTTATTGTGTTTTTTTCGATTAACATAGTCATGGTTATTTCTGATTGACTGTAATGAAACGGAGAGTATAGTTATTGATTAATAATCATATGGTGTTTGAATTTAAGGTAGCGGGTATGATATTACATTACATCTTGTCGGGTGGACATCATCCATATGGAGAAATAAATCTCGAAATACAAGTTAGTCTCCAGCAAAACTGGCCCAAAATGGCTTATATCAGCGATGAAGTCAACGGACTTATAAATGACATGTTAGTTATGCCACCATCAACAAGACCATCCATGGAACAGATCTTGAAGTAAGTTGTTTTCTGTCTGCATTTTTTTGGAATTTCTTGCCTTCACCCTTTATTCCTGTCCTTGTATCGTTCTGTTCACCTCTTTTCAATCGTTTCTTCAAAAGTTTAGCATGTTTTTCAAATAGCTTTAAGTCTGTAAAAAAATAAGGAGCGTTAAGGACTCTTTTTGGTCTAAAAAATTGAAGAACTACGAAAACAGAATATAATTGATAGGTAATTGCAAAGTTCATGAATGTTCACCGATATTTGGTGGTCGAAATATACCATAAATTAGATTTGTCTAAAAAAAACTGTAACGTTCAAACATAATTTCGAGTCGGGAATTTTTAGCGCAAAAAAATGTGGGTCCTAAAATTAAGTTCAAAATTAACATCTATGAAATCTATGAGTTGTTATATAAATGTTTTCATCTTGACAAGAAAGCTTAAAAGATTTTTTCCATGACGTCATAAGGCAACATTCATTATAACTTCATGAATCGTAAACTGTCTGGTTTTTTTTATCTGGTATTACTTCATCTTTAAAAAAAAACAAATAGCCAATTGAATTGGATTAGCATTTCAGTGATAAACTATCCCCAATAAGGCAAAATACACGCAGGTAATATGATTAAGTTTATATCTTCACCTGAGAACTTTACCGGAAAGTCATGTTAAACACAATTATACACAGTATATAAGATGTTTAATTTTTCTGATTTATTGCCGCTGTGTTTTCTTGAATTATAACGGGTTTCTTTGTTCTACGAAAAAAATCAATGTGTCGCGCATTCTGATACATATGTCTCAAATTAGCTGTTTGGTTGGTTCCCTCTGTATATATGAAGTATGCCTTTCGGAATATGTAAACATTGTCAAACTTGTCAAATACGACAGGCACCAGACTAATAACTGGTCGGCTCGGGAAAATGAAAGAAGTTGTATTGTTCCACTTGATATCATCTCATTCATTTTAATGTCTCCCGATTTTTTCTCTCGCAAACAACCTTCTAAGACATTATATATCTGTTCATACAATTATTCATCCGTTTTTATGTTTTTTTCCCGGAACACCATCGATATTGTGAACTATTTTAAAGGTTTAGATTCAATTTAACCATATTTAACCACATGAAGAGCACACAAACATGTTAGTGGCGATAATCGACTTCATTGTATTTCAGACATCCTTATTTCTGGGCCAATGAAAAACGTTTACGGTTTGTGTTAATTGCTGGATCCGACGTTCTGCGTGACATGAAATCAGGGTGAGTGATCTCGAATTTTCTCATTTTCGATATTTCTGTACAAATACGAAAATCTCTTTAGGGAGTAAAATTCAGGATCAGATTTTCGCATTTTGGCAAATTGTGAAGGATTACTAATTCTTTTGTTTGATTCAGAGATTTCATATGTAAATTCGTTAGAACAAATTGTAGAATTTGATATCAAAGACAGTAGTTTATCGATTTTCGCAAGTATTTTAATCAATTTTGAACTTATCAAATCAAATATAATAAATAGCAAGAGAGCTAGCAAATTTACTTTTTCATTCTGTCAAAGGGAACTTTGAAATACATAAATGGTTTCCAGATAACTTAACTATCAAAGAAATGACATCGTTCTAGTAATTTATAGTTCTATTTACATAATTATGTAGTCATTATCAACATAAAGGAAATTTATTTGTCTTGACCTTACACTGTAAGGGGGAAATTGGACAATTGATTCCGTCTGTATGATAAACCGGCTGTGTCATTAATGAAGCCATGTATAGACTGACTAATATAAATCTCTCATTCTAAATCGAATAAATCCCTCCAGCTGACCATGTAATACTGATTGATCATTAATATATTTTCATCAATTTCGAGATATCCGATCAGATCAGCTTGCTTAAGGAAAAGTTTAGAGAGTCAAAATACTACTAAAACATATCACTCATACAAATGTCAAAAGAAAAGATTTCACACGATCCTTTCCAATCATAATATTTTAGAAGTATTGGTAAACAAAAATCACTGTACAGTAAAAATAACTAGGAAGTACGTAAAAATTTTGAACTTATATCAACCGAAAACAATTTAAATGTTTTTTTTAAAGTATTTATCCTCGCACGATCATTTACACACACATTGACGATATACGTATGGACTTGATAACATGACTTGGTACGAGCGATCATTTACACATACAATGACGACATACATATGGACATGATAGCATGACTTGGTACGAGCGATCATTTACACATACTATGACGATATACGTATGGACTTGATAGCATGACTTGGTACGAACGATCATTTACACATACAATGACAATATACATATGGACTTGATAGCTTAACTTGGTACGAGCGATCATTTACACATACAATGACGATATACATATGGACTTAATATTTGTATTTTCGAATTACGTTCATTGTTTTGTACATAAATCAGGCCGTTAGTTTTCTCATTTGAATTGTTTACATGAGTCATTTCGGGGTCTTTTATAGCTGGCTATGTGGCATGGGTTTGATCATCGTTGAAGCCCGTACGGTGACCTATAATTGTTAACTTCTATGTCATTTGGTCTCTGATGGGGTGTTGTCTCATTGGCAATCATATCCTATCTTCTTGTTTTTATATTGATTGCATGACTAAGTACAGGATCAAAATGTGAACTATTTCTAAATGACCACATGTTACTTCTAAATCCTGCTGAATCTTTGCTGCTAACCAGCTGGAGGCTTGTATTCAAAAGTTGTGATATTAAAGAAAAATTATTCTTAGAATTCGAATGTCGGAATATATTCAGCAAATGACCTAACAACACATAAAAGCACGAATGCATATAACAGTGAATTATTTTTGTTTAGTCGTGAGTCAATCAGAAAATATTTTTCGATATTTCAGTTTATGGATTAGCTATTCTTTTATTTTACCTTGACTTGAAATCTAAAACAGACTTAGAGTGAGCGATCTTTTCCTTTAATATGTATCATCAATTCGATTTGACGCAACTTCGTTGTCTGGAAAACAGCTATTGTTATATGACGCAAAAGGAGTGAAAAACATGTAAAATTGGACTGGGAAATCACAGTATTTCATTCAAGCATACAATCAATGTTTTGAATAAGTTCCTATGCATTTGACTGTATATTCACTGAGGAGTCCGTTCTTGAGATATTTACTGGAGAATGCCTACGTAATACCATTTTAGCATAACTGTATAAAGAAATGAATAAAAACGTAATTTCAAGTTTTTATGTGTGGATTCACATGGTGGGTGATGCACTGGCAGGAGACGCGTACCCTGTCGATGCACCTGGTCTTGCTCCTTATGGAGTTCAGGCGTTTTCCTACTTGTGTGTGTTGTCTTGATTTTTCTGGTCATCAATTTACGAGATTGAACTGCTTTCTATTTATAAAGACTGTCTTTTCGATATGATTTGGTTATCTTTGTTGTTGGGTTTCCGACTCATTGACGTATACCTCACGTCTCTATTTATTCAGTTTTAATCAAGACAGATTTGAGAAACTTGAGACAGCAAATTAATACATATCAATCAGTAGTAGAATACTTCAGTGCTGCTAAATGTTTGTTTGGATATTTATTCTATCACAAACAGTAAATATTACTGTAATATTATTGCTAGTTTTAAGAAATTTGCATTTCTAAAGACAAACTGTCGACCTTTTTTTTATACCAGCACAAGAATTGTGTTGCACTCAGGTCGATAATTTAATAGATATGTTCATGTACGATTCTTATTTTAGAAAAGATTTGAAGATTGAGAATTGTTCACAAGAAACATACGAGTATTCTTTGAATAATGTATTTTAATTTATATGCTTACCAGTATCACTGATTTCAGGATATTTCTGACTAAACAAGAACAATAAATTTTTAGATATTTCTCGTAGTTAACTACCTATTACAATATAGGATAAAAAATATACACTACATTGATTTTTTTTATCCAAATGATTCCTTCTATTTTTATAAATGCTAATAAGTGTTTCTTTCTTTTTCAGTACATCTACGACAGGTGGGACAGGTTGGACAATGATTGATATTATCAATAGTGCCTGTAAAAATGCCATGTTTTGTGAATGGGTGAGTTACAAATTTTTTTCAAGATATTAACTTACATGTCTATTTAAACTTATACTGTACCATGTGGTAACATGTCCTTGCACACTTTAATACATATATATGGATAATGACATAACCCTTTAAATACGTATTCAACGAACAAATAATGTTTTTTAATATACTTTTCGTTATTCACTTTTCGAAAATGAATAATACGTTCTGTTGCAAGTTCGGGAGTCTTGATTTGGCTTTTCTTTTAGAGATGTTCTCCATTTTGAGATTTTGTTTTCAAGATAGCCCAAAATGAAGTTCTAGATTAAGGAGAAGTAATACTATTTCAATACGCGTTACCATTGTTCAGAAAAAAAACTATTCCCAATTGCTCAAATAGTTTACCAATTGCAGTTTGAACTCATCTTCACAAACTGATCAACTGGTAAAATATTTCAAGTAATTGCTTCCGTGATAGGTTGTTGTACGACTTTGCCCCCAGCAGAGCTATAGAAAAACAGTACATTAGAATATAGCAAAGTGCTCTCGACCAATGAAATTGTAGAATTTGATGCCTCTTAATTGTGAAGAATGAATGTAAATCGTGTTCTTAGTAAGGGATTATCCTATTATTTGGGTATTTACAGTTCAAAACAAAGAGTTTCTATAAATGAGTTACAACTGCCCCGAAGCACATTTATCAGGTTGAAAGGATTTATCACACAGTGATTGAAAATGACTAAAAGTTGAATTGTGAAACAAAAAAATCAAAATAAGTTGAAGTCTACTGGTGCAGTACAACTGGTACCTTTAATGTTATTATGAAAATATTAATAACTTTAAATTACTAAAAAATTAAACAATATCAAAGCAATGCAAAAAAAGAAAAAAAAAGTTTTAAAATCAAAAACAACCTAAATCTTTAGCTTTCCAAAACTCTGATAACTGGACTAGCGGTTGGGAAGAATAGTTATTTCCAATATTCCGTTAAGATTTTAAAAAACAAGGAATTTAATTTAAGTTTTGAATATATTTAAAACTTTTAAAGGCATTTTATTTGAACATTCCCTTGTTATAATGAAATAGTATTTGATTTAAGAAGCTGGACCAAAATATTGGCTGTGAAAATAAAATTAGTTGTAACTCAAATATAGTTATTTATTTAAACTGTAAATAAAAAAAAGGATAATTCCTCAATAAAATATTACACGATATACATTCATACTCACAATCAGGAAACATATACAATTCCTACCTTTTCTTTGGACTGTTGTCACCTAATTTCTATAACGCATTTTTTTTTAAATATTTCCCAAATTATAAGAATGTCCTTACATCACTAAAACTAATCCATAAATGAAATGCCGAAAAAGGAAGTCATGCATCAATTATAAACATTGCACTGACAAAGACACTAATTCTTGAATACAACCAATCAAGAGATCATTTGAGCCTTGAGCACTTTACAATATTCTAAGTTTGTAAGAGAATGATAATCCCTTACTTCATGATAAGTACTCGCTAACGCTCGTACTTAATCATGAAGAAAGGGATTATCAGTTTTTTATCGGAATAATTGTATTGGAAATAACAATTATCCCCAATCTCTGATCAAGTAATCAAAGTTTTGGAAAGCTAAAGATTTAGGTTATTTTTTTATCTGAAAGATTTTTTTTTTTTTTTTGCATTGCTTTGGTAATGTTTAATTTTATAGTAATTTGAAGTTATTAATATTTTCATAATAAAATTCACGGTACCAATTTTACTGCACCAGTAAACTTCAACTTATTTTGAGATTTTTGTTTGTTTCACAATTCAACTTTTAGTCAGTTTCAATCACTTTGTGATAAAACCTTTCAATCTGATAAATGTGCTTCGGGGCAGTTGTAACTCATTTATAGAAACTCTTTGTTTTGAACTGTAAATAGACCCAAATAATAGGATAATCCCTAACTAAGAACATGATTTACATTCATTCTTCACAATTAAGAGGCATCCAATTCTACAATTTCAATGGTCGAGAGTACTTTGCTATATTCTAATTTTAGTTGTTACACGGACACTTTTTATGAATAGAATCACTCGTGCATGATCAGTGAGTTCATGGGCACTGTAAATTTCAACTAGATTTGAATTTTTTGTTTCACCGACATATTTCCTGTCTTTTTAATAAAAAATATTTACGTTAGCATCAATAACTATATTTTTTTCAAACAATTCCAGTAACTATTCATATTAGTACACTAAGGGGTTGACCATTTAACTTCAAAAGGCCGGTTATGGTTTTTTCCTAAAAAAAACACATTTTGATCCCCAATTTTATGAGAAAAAATATATAAAGGTCAAGCAGATGACACTGAAAATAATGTTCTGGCTCCTGATTTTCCGGATACCGTATATAATAGTGCTGATTTCGAAAAAAAAAATATTTGGGCGATAGCGTTGAAAAACTAAATAATTTTCTTACTCAGAAAAGAACATACCCCCTTTTGAAGCTAAATGGTGGGTCCGTAAATGTATTTTTTTTTTCAATATATGGACATGAATAGTATTCTGGACAATTCTGAAAGAAATCCTGGTACCAACGTTTATATTTCAATAAAAGACAGGAAATATATATATAAAAATCAAATCTAATCAAAAGATAAAATCCCTATCAACTCACCAATGCACGATTGATCCTATAAATAAAAAGTGTCCGTGTAATACATGTTCAAATATGCAGCAAATCGTAAAACACATTTTGATCCCCAATTTTATGAGAAAAAATATATAATGGTCAAGCAGATGACACTAAAAATAATGTTCTGGCTCCTGATTTTCCGAATACCGTATATAATAGTGCTGATTTCGAAAAAAAAAATATTTGGGCGATAGCGTTGAAAAACTAAATAATTTTCTTACTCAGAAAAGAACATACCCCCTTTTGAAGCTAAATGGTGGGTCCGTAAATGTATTTTTTTTTCAATATATGGACATGAATAGTATTCTGGACAATGCTGAAAGAAATGCTGGTACCAACGTTTATGTTTCAATAAAAAGACAGGAAATATATATATAAAAATCAAATCTAATCTAAAGATAAAATCCCTATCAACTCACCAATGCACGATTGATCCTATAAATAAAAAGAGTCCGTGTAATACATGTTCAAATATGCAGCAAATCGTAAAGAAAATCATTCAACTTATGTCATCAATTTTGGACGGTAAGCTCTGATTGGATCATATAGTGACACGTGTTTAATCCTGATCAACACTATCAGAGACATATAAAAACCTATAAGCATGAACATTTTTTTTTTAATCCAAAACATATGCCTATATATATATATATATATATTAACAAGACATGGACATGGCACATCCTGCATTTTTTCAACAAAAAAAGGATGAAGCCTATTTTAAATTTATTTTAATCCCCCCCCCCCCCAATAAAAGCAAATGGTAGCTTGCTTACCTCTGAAATCTTTTTTATACATTACTTACTTGCGAAGTTGCATTTCAAAAAGTCTCAAATGTGTATAACATTCACCTTTAACTTGAAATGGTTCTTTTTATAAAGTTATTAGATTTTTGAATTTTTTGAGAAAAAATTCTCGGCTGAAGGGAAGTGAGAAAAAAAATTGAGTTTAAACTGTAACTTACATTAACTGGTATATGGCCATTTAAGTTTCTAATATCTTTAGTTTTGCTACCTCTTCTAAATGCAAAATGTACTTCTTCCTTCTTGAAACGTCGTACAAGTCAGATACAAAACAAAGGTAACAAAAAAAACAGGCCGGAAACAACCTGCCGTATAGTTTGTCTGCACTTGTAGTCAGGTCAAGGTCCTCGGCTATCGCCTCGGACCTTGACCTGACTACTCGTGCAGAAAAACTATCCGGCAACGGTTGTTACCGGCCTGTTTCTTTGTTACCTTTGTATTGTATCTAATACTTAGTGTGAAGTGATTGCAGTGAAAAGAAGGTTATACTTACCATCCAACGTCAGCTAAATATTGTCGATGTCCTAAATTTCAAATAAATTAATGACTTAGTATAATATGAGTTTTCATGTCAAAGTTAGACCTTTTTAAAGCAGTCTAACTTTGACATGAAAACTTCTATCCTAAATAAATTTTATAAATAACTAGTTCAAAACATTGTTTTGTTGATTAATAATTTGTAGCTTTGTTTTCTAACAAGAAGTTATTGCGGAATTGTAACTTGGATATTTTTTTTATATACAATTACTAATCTGCTAGTTATAAAGGGAAATAAGTCACATTATAATCAGCACAATTTTATTCTGTCAACTATCAACTTCCTTCATATTGACATTTTATAAGTATTTTGTTCTAAACATTTTTTCCATGATTAATAAACTATTAATCTATTTTTAAGATGATTAAAATTTTGAAAAAAGCTGTTGAAAACATATTATGTGACACAATCAAAGTTGTATAAATCATACAGACTCCTCTGTAAATTAAGAAGGTATCACCAGCCCAGTAGTCAGCAATTCTGTGTTGACATGAATTATCATTGATATGGTCAAAATTATAAATTAAAACTGTTTTGCAAAAATTGAATTGTTCAAAATACTAAGGATTTTCTATCCCCCGAGGATTAGATTTTTTATAAGCAGTATTTGGCAAAATCTTTCAGACTTTGTTTCCTCAATGCTTTTCAACTTCGTACTTAATTTGACATTTCAATTTGTTTTATTCTAGTCTCAATGGTGAGTCTTCTGTCGACAAAACTTGTGTCTGGCGTACAAAATCATTATCATGGTATCTTTGATTAATTGTTTTTTTACCATGAGTGAATACAAGTTATTTCCCTTTAATGCCAGCAGATCAGTAATTGTTATAGGAAGAAAATATCCTAATTACAATTACACAATAATTTCCTGTTAGAAAACAAAGCAATAAGTTATTGACTCACCAATTGTAAGAACTAATTATTTATAAAAGAGGGACGAAAGATACCAGAGGGACAGTCAAACTCATAGATCGAAAACAAACTGACAACGTCATGGCCACAAATAAAAAGACAAACAGACAAATAATAGTACAGATGACACAACATAGAAAACTAAAGACTAAGCAACACGAACCCCACCAAAAACTGGGGGTGATCTCAGGTGCTCCGGAAGGGTAAGCAGATCCTGCTCCACATGTGGCACCCGTCGAGTTGCTTATGTTATTACAAATCCGGTAAATAGTCTAATTCGGTAAGTCACATTCGTGAAAAGGGAAGGGTATTGTAGTTACGACATAAGGAACATATCCGATATCATCTGTGAAACGGTTATTCCATAACGGTCAACCAACTCGTGATGGCGTCCGTAAAATTTACGAAGGGATGACTTCAACTTCACCATTTGGAACTCTTGGTTTAATAGCTTCCTTGTGAGCAGCAATCTTCTATCAAGGAAATCATGATATTATAAATCATGATATTATAAAATGTCATTAGGATAGAAGTTTTCATGTCAAAGTCAAACCTTTTTAAACCAGTGCCTTATACTATAGTAGGTAATTATTCTTTTTTCAATTTCATTACACAGACATTAAATAATTGAAGTTGGATGGTAAGCATTACTTTTATTTCACTGCACTCCTTTCACTGAAGCAATACGCTTAAATATTTTATCAGTTGATCGGTTTGCGGAGATGAATTCAAACTGCAATTTGGTAAACTGTTTGAGCAATTGATATTTTGATAGGCCAAAGCCTTCAAGATAAGCACAGTAAAATCGATTAAAAATGTGAACCCTTTTGTTTTATTTTTATTTTGTCTTACCTATATCATAGTAAAGACATTAAATATTGTTATACTGGTTTATCAATTTTTCTGTTCCTGATGCTCGAGTTGATAACACTTTACCGTGCTTAATCTTTTCGGGGTTGAGTACATTTCCTTTCAGTTCTTTTCTTAATTTGTTTCTTGTTTGTTTGATATATTGTAGACGTCAGTTGTTGATCTTGTGGTTTTGAAAGAGATGAGATCCTTCCGCCAATACAAGAACACATTGGTGGAACTAGTTTTATTTGTTTACAACTGCTGCTTACATTATGACAAACTGTAAGTTTTTTATTTGTTCAATTCTGTATGTTTCTACGGGCAAAATTACATTTATTAACACAATAAGGTGTTCACACTAGATTTGGACGTAGAGAAACAATTGTATTGGAGAATGATTTATAAAAGTTTCCTTAATCATATTCCGGTTAATAGTCATAGATAAATTTTATCTGAAATTCAGTAATTTTAATTTTAAAAAGGGAAAGGCGAAAGATAGCAAAGGGACATTCAAACCCATAAGTCAAAAACAAACTGATAAATCATGGCAAAAAAAGAAAGACAAACAACAGTATACACAATACAACATATAAAGACTAAGCAACACAAAACCGGGGATGATCTCAGGTGTTCATCATACAAACAATCATGATTCTTTCCAATCGATTTCGCTAAATATAGTTACAATGTACGTGAAAAATTTACAAATCGGTCCGTCGGTAATATAAATCTTAAATCAAATTAGCAGATCATTGCAAATATTTTATATGAAGATTTTATTATCTTCATTTCAAACTTTTATCGTTAATATGCAGCCATGGACGATAAAACTTTTAAGCACTTTTGTTTTATTTGTTATTTTTTATTTTCAGTTCACAGTCGGCAAGAGACATCATTGACGAACCATGTAAATATTTCCTAACAACCTTCCCTGCATTGTTCATGTCAGTTTACACCGCTATAAAATCATCGTTTCGCGTAGAACGTGCTTGTTACAAACCGTTCTTTTAACCAACAAATTGTGACATAGAAATAAAATCATGACATTATGGTTTTGATAATCGTTGCATGAACTTTTGTACTCATTAAGTGTTTTATAACTATCTGTTACAACATTTTTGTAGCTATTTTTTTCAAATACTTATTTTTGATCCATTTTTTGAAAGGGCAGCATTTTTAAATGAACTTTATTCCATTTTTTATGAATATTTATAAATTTTTAATGATTGTGAATTATTTTCTATATTCAGAGTCTTTCAACAATTTTAGTGATATATTTTCGTGTTGTATGATTTATACATCTCAATGACATCTTTTGTAAAACAGATAAAATCTTTTTATAGAAAACAATATTCTTGTCATTTTTATTTCTACAATACGAGTTGCGAATATGAATATTGATGCTGTCTTATCCACATAATGAACAAACAGAAAGGTATAGAATAAAAATATTATATCCATTCATGTTTAATGAAAGAAGAAATCTGTCATGAATTATAACTATTCAAAATGTTCTATGTCGATTGAATGGTTGAGCAAGGTTAATTCATACAAAGCCAATAAGTTTTTATTTACAAAACTAGCATGATCTGTTATATCTTTGTAAGGAATCGCCGGTTCAAACAAAAAATAAGTATAGAGTGTCAAAAATGTCAATGAGTTTATTGGTAGAAAACTTCCAATTTTTCTGAAGGTTGATTGTTTGTGATCTTTATTGAAACAAAACCTGTCGACAAAAGTTGAGCTGCATACGAATTGTTCATATAATGTGCACAATGTTTTCGTCAGCATTATAAAATATCGTTGTCAGTATGAAAAGCCATTTGATCACTGAAATATCTTAGGAATGAACTGCTATGATAAAGTCATGACAGATACATTGCTGGTCGTTTAAGAACTACAGAAGACGATTTGAAATTAAATTCCTGAAGATAGACTACTGGAGCGTGATATGTGCTAAAGACACATGTTTTTGTAGAAGACCACGCATTGATCTTAATATACCTTTTGTGTTTTTTTTATTGTGTCGGGTTGCTTTCTCGTTGGCTTTTCTGTCCCCACTTTTCGCCCCTTTTATTCCACTTGTTTTTTCAAAATTCTGACATACTGCTATTATACCTTGAGCCACCTTTAACCCAACTTCAAGTGTAATAACTGTTCAAAGTTACCAGGCTACTATTTCAGGTTAGGGTGAAGGTTGGCGCCTGTTGAAACGTTTAAACCCGCTGCAAATGTATGCACCTGTCCTAAGTCGGGAATCTGTTTCAGTGGTTGTCGTTTGTTGATGTGGTTCTTAAGTGTTTCTTGTTTCTCGTTTTTTATATACATTAGACTGTTGGTTTTCATGTTTGAATTGTTTTACACTAGTCATTTTGGGGCCCTTTATAGCTTGTTGTTCGGTGTGAACCAAGGCTCCGTGTTGAAGGCCGTACTTTAACCTATAATTGTTTACTTTTTACACATTGTGACTCGGATGGAGAGTTGTCAATTTGGCACTCATACCACTTCTTTTTATTTCTATTATAATGTAATACGGCTAACGCGCGTTTCGTCTGCACAACACTCATCAGTGACGCCGGAATCAATCATTAGGAAGTAGCCGAAGAGCATTACAAACAAAAATTCTCAAATGTTGTAGATAATCTAGCAGAGGCTTTCTATGCCTATGCCTATAGATACAAAAAACTTTATTTGTTCAAAGGCTTTTGTATTTGGTCATTTTTGTTCAAAGTAGAAGATACTTAAAAATTTTGAGAAATTAGAAATATATGTATGAGATAGACGGTCATGTTTTTTCAACAAGTTAGAACAAAATGAGGTTTAGGTTTGCAAGCGTATTATTTCCATTTAGGCTTGTAACAATGTATGAACACTAAATTTACAGAAATTGACCGTATCGATACTATTTCAAGAGTGCTGACTAATGGGCTGGTGATACCAAATATAAATGTATTTAAAGAAGCTAGATACAAAGATAATCAGTTACTGTTGAATGGGTGACAAACAAGGTCGTATATAGTTACCAATCAAATCCAATAGCATGTCGCATTTTCATTTTCTCTTCAAGTACTTGGGATAACAACAATACTGCAAAAGATTCTGTATGAAAGTTCCCCTACACAACTCTTCATTTGGTTTCATTTGAATGAGAGAAGACCGCAGAGCATGCTTTGGTTATATTTTAAAAGTCTCTTCTCTAAAACTCTCTAATGTTTTGAAACATTACTGCACTGAAATATGAAGACTATATATAAACAATATCTGCATGCGAATCATGCGGCAAGCATTGTGATCTATATTTCAAAAGATTAGTTTGAAATGCCAGAAGTTTAACTATTACGTTAAGGTGACAAAGACGAAAACAAAATTTCACGGAATTTTCAATGTATGTGATTTTTAAACCCGACCAGTGATTTAGGCAATGTTTTGTCTATTTTGCACGAGAATGGAGTTAATCTTACTACATTTTCAGTTGTGCCTACTTAAAACTTGGGTTTTCAAAATTTCTCAGTTGAAAGCAATATTTACCCCCTGGATTATTTTTTAAAATGTTATTTCGGTATAATGAAAAATATCTTGCCATCATGAGATGAACGTCACAATTGTTATCTCTTTAAGTGTTGACTTACTTCGCGCTAAAGCTCTCGGGTAGTTAAAAATTGATATGTTTACCTTGTATGAAAGCAATAGTTGTAGATGATCCCTCAAACTATCAATACTCTTATTTTGACATTATACACTCCTATGATTTTTAGAAACTGTTCGTGACGTCTTTACACTTGTCCTGTCCTTTGGACTAGCTTTCAATAAAGGCGAGCACTCTGATATTGTTGAGCCTATTCCAGCTAATGTTTAAAGTTTTTTTATGTAGTGTTATCATACCACTGTAACGGGTTTGGGTGGTATGAGTGCTCACAAACATTTTAACCCCATCACATTCTTCATGTGCCTGTCCCAAGGCAAGAAGATGTAACGAAATAGTTGTCGTTGATTGGTGTCTGACATATTTATTTTTCGTTCATTGTTGTATTATAAATCAGGACTTTAGTTTTCTGCTTTGAATAGTTTTACTTTGTAATAACGAGGCCTTTTATAGCTTACTATACGATATGATCTGATATCGGTTTTTGTTATTGATGAATGTCGTACGGTGACCTGTAGTTGTAAACATCTTTGCCGTTCAGCAATTATATAACATCGTCTGATTTTTATATCAATTTAAAATTGTGCAAATGATAAAGACGTTGCAAATATTAAACGATTGGTTCAGAATTATGACAATATATCCCGATATCATTTAAATGGCTGTCCCAATGAATCAAGATACTCAAAAGCTCTCTAATGCACTGGCACAAGACAAAATTAAAACAAAAAGAAAAAAGAAAAAAAAACATTCATTTGCAAACAAAGGGTATCCGAAAAAATATACTAATCCCAGCATTTTTTGTCACATTGAAATACAAGTATAGAATTTTGATTTTGTAAGGAATTAAAGTTTTGATATACAAATAAGAAGCTGTGATGTGATTGCCAATGAGACAACTATCAACAAGGACCAAGTGATGTAGATCATTCAAACATTATGACTTAAATTTAAAGCAAGTTCGACGAAATTTACAAGTCTTAAGTTTTCTATGTTCTGTCTTCTGTACTATTATTTGTCTGTTTGTCTTTTTATTTTTGGCCATGGCGTTGTCAGTTTGTTTTCGATCTATGAGTTTGACTGTCCCTCTGGTATCTTTCGTCCCTCTTTTACACGTGACTTCGAAATTCAATGAACTATTTCAACTCGTATAAATCAATCGCTTAAAATTTCTGACAATAAATGTATTTTCAGAAGTTTAAACTCATCAATAAATATGATCAGTTAAGTGCAACAGACCTGGTTATTTCTTATCTTTATTCTAATGTGTTGCATGCAAGAACGTTAATTCACAAGAAAAGTATAATTCAAAGCAAACTAAGGTTGGACCTGAAATAGGTAATCTAATGTTCAAACGTAGGAGTAAAGACAGTTATTTTGGTTCTCATTTCTATTCGTTTATCTGTAAAATGGTAAAGGAGTGCCAATAGATCATTTCAAATACTTGAAGCAGTTATGAAGTTATTTCAATTCATTATCACTGCACGACACAAAATATTCAATTATTGCAATATAGTTGTTTTAAACTAAATCAATCAGAAATGGGCTCGATCAAAAATAATAAGTATTCTTGTACACCAGAAATTAGCATATACGGCATCTGCGATAGCAGCATTTTGGAATATTTACGTCACGTCATTTGGTCTTTTATTGTAGATATCATACAAGCCGTTTCACTGGCAATAAAAAGTAAATTACAAAATTACCAAACTCCGAGGAAAATTCTAAGCGGAAAGTCCCTAAGTAAATGTCAAATTCAAAAGCTCAAGCACATCATACGAATGGATAACAACTGTCATATTTCTGACTTGGTACAGGCATTTTCTTATGTAGAAAATGGTGGATTAAACCTGGTTTTATAGCTAGCTAAACCTCTCACTTGTATGACCGTCGCATAAAATTCCATTATATTGACAACGATGTATGAACAAAACAAACCGACATAATAGGCAAAAATGTCAAAAATGTAAAAAATAGGGGTATAGCCGTCAACATTGTGTTATAACCTAATCACTACAAAAACAGGCAAATATGTCAACAAAGACAAACGAAAAGTCATATAGACAAAGCACATTAGCAAAAACGAAAGACAAGAATACAAAAATTTACCATAGCACAACAACACAATGACGGGATGTACAAGTACCGAGCCACGTCAAATGGATATTACCAAATATAAACTAAACAGTAAAAGTAATAATTTACAAAGACAAATAAAAGAATAATATAACACGTTATTAAGATGATAAACAACGTTAGTACCTAGAATCTATACTTCAAGACCATCGTGTATTATTTGTGAAGTTGATACGCAATATTTATCAACAAGGTCTTGGTATCTTCCGATGAACTTTTGTAGAAAAACGACGAGACGTTCTTTGACATATCCCTGGTTTATCAACTTTCTGCTTAGACACTGGTGACGTTGAACAAAGTCTGAGTAGCAGCTGCAAGCTAATGAATATCGAATGAGTTGGGAAACGTATATCCCTTATGCAGGTGAAGTCATTATTTTGCTACTAAGGTGGGGGAAATTAATAATTTAAAAATTAAAATCGTCTCGTTTGTCATAGATTCTTGTACTGAGATGACCGCTTATGTTTTTGTATGGGGGACTACCTGAGTGCTTATTTATTCTTATTCTTTTACAAGACACTCGTAGTAGTACGATTTACATAGAAAGACAATATTATTTGAAGCTTTGTCC